CCCCCCCCCCCCCATCCCGCACCCATCGATTTCGAACGATGTTTTGTTTGTGGCTTGGATGACCTTGCCACCTCCTCCCCTCCTTATCTTTGTAACCACTGCAACTCGCCTGACACCTGACACCTGACACCTGACAGTGCCGGTGCGTTGGACGGTGTGGATCAGTGGGAATGTCTCAAGAGCAACGGCGTCGGAGGGGCTGGGCCGGGGGACACGTCGAAGGCCCCACGCACTGAGCTGCTGTACAACTGGGACTCGTACCTCCTGGCGTCCGTGGAAGAATTGTAAGACCGAGTTGCTGTTCGAGTCTGTCTGCCTGCCTGTCTCTCGGCGTACTGTAATGTGCAGTGTACTTTGCCCTTGAACCTCACGACAGCGATCGAGCGTGAATTGTGGGTTGTCTGCGCTTGCCAACGTCCCTTTCAGGGCGTTCTGGACTTTTGGACGAACAGTATTTAGTGTGTTTCTGGTGCCCCACAATTTGTGGCCAAAACCTGCTGGCTTTGACTTCTTGCGGTGGCATGACATGCACTCCAACGAAGTGCGGGCTGTTCCGTACCGCTTCATTTACGAAAATGTTCCGAAACAGGAGAGTCCCTACAGTCGACTACACACGCACTTGCATCGATTGCCCTCGACATGAACACAGCATCACATATCTCTTACGTTCACAAGCGACACACTGCAGTGGGGTCTCGATCTAGCCGTTCGAACATGGCTATTTTTGAACTTTTCAAGAGTCGAGAGTCTAACAGAAAAACGACTCCAATCTAATGGAATCTGATCGTCCGTTTCCCTTGGGGCGTCTCGACCGAATACACAACCCCCTCTTACACCGTAGGAAAGAAGACCTGGGATTAAGTCAAGGAGCTTTCCGGTCGGGGGACTGGAAGCTACTCGTGAACGCATTTTGCTCGGGTTACTACTCCCACGATCTCGCGGTCATCGAGGTGAGCGGACGTGTCCCTAGCGCCGGAGGGCCAGGGTAGTGTTTGCCGGGTGAGCCGCGTGCGTGACGCCGCCCAAGAACCCCTGTTCAGTTGCGGTTGGGATAGTTGCCAGTTCCGGGACCACGTCGCCGTGTACGGCAGTGGAGGGCCCTGTTTTGTACAGTTGTGCCTTGACCAGAACAACACCAGACACCGGCACTATTCAGCCGGCACCCAACAGCCCCCCCCCCCCCCCCCCCCCCCCCCCCCCCCCCCCCCCCCCCCCCCCCCCCCCCCCCCCCCCCCCCCCCCCCCCCCCCCCCCCCCCCCCCCCCCC